GCACAGCAAAGGAACACTCATTTTACATGTTTTTTCTCCTTGCACACTTGTCTGCATTTGGAGCTCTGCGCTGCAGCGGAGATGCTCCTAGTTGTCGTCTCTCTGATGCAGCAAGCTCCACAAACCGGGACTGTATCTTCCTAGAGCTGCAGAGCTGATAACCCAAGTGCATATATTCCGCGATGACAAAAGAGAACAGAAATAGGCTGTTAATCCGTTCATTCATTCTCCAGTGACAAGACTGACGCAGGAAATCTGCACCTACAGCTGATAAAGGCTCACTGCAGGAGCCCCAGGCTGTAGCTGCTGACACTCTTACCCATCAGCCCGGCATCGTGTCCACGTGGATTCCTGAATTACTCAGAAGATTTAAACACATACTCATCTCCAGTGTCTCTCAAACATTAACTGACCCTTATGATTTTGACCAAGAGTAGGATGATTCTTCTTAGTGAGATGATGTAAACATCAGATCAAGAGTTTGAATCTGGAAGAACAGAGGATAAAAAAACTCAAGAACATATGGCTGTACACACAATACACAGCTAAAAGTGGGAGTATGTTTACTTATCGTTGTTTACCTAGATTTAGACAGCACTAGTTTACTTTTAGTACTACTAATCTTTTGTATGTCATCTGTGCTTTTGTACTTTTACCTTTTTAATGTATTTTTTTAACACTCTGTAAAGCACTTTAAATTAAAGTGTATGAAATGCGCTATACATATAAAGCTGCCTTCCCCTGTAAGACCAAACCTTTGTTGGTTTTGGTCTTTGTTAACAATAAGAAAATTATAGACTGACCAGGCTTATCCTTTAATACTTTGTGTTGGATCTGCTCTAGCGCTAACTAGTCTGAAATATTCAGACAGCGATGTTTTTAATTTATCATCTTAATTATAATATTTGTGTGTGTGACAGTTCATTTGAAGGCTGAAATATAGCCTGTGTCCATCAGGACTATAATTAGCAGAGTCACACTGCTCCAGTGTTGTTGACTGTTGATGTTGTTTAAAAGATTGGCTAAAGTAATTATACTGATAGGTGCAATGAGTACCCTTGATGGGGCAATGAAAATAATTTAAAATACAGTTCATGAATTAATTTTCTTTGAGTTGACGTTAACTAAAAAGAATTAAGGGCTTGTTAGTATCAACAGTTTAATTTGTGTGTCTGTGAATGTCTGTATACACCGATCAGCCTTAACATTATGACCGCACATCCGACAGATGGTTGATTGGATTGAGATCTGGGGAATTTGGAGGCCAAGTCAACACCTTGAACTCGTCGTTGTGTTCCTCAAACCATTCCTGAACCATTTTTGCTTCGTGGCAGGGCGTATTATCCTGCTGAAAAAGGACGCTGCCATCCGAGAATACAGTTTCCATCAAAGGGCGTACATGGTCTGCAACAATGGTGGTACGTGTCAAAGTAGCATCCACATGAACGGCAGGACCCAAGGTTTCCCAACAGAACATTGCCCAAAGTATCACACTGCCTCCACCGGCAGAAAAAAAAAGTGATTCATCAGACCACCTTCTTCCATTGCTCCATGGTCCAGTTCTGATGCACACGTGCCCATTGTAGGTGCTTTAGGCAGTGGACAGGGGTCAAGATGGGCACCCTAACTGGTCTGCGGCTCCATATGCAACAAAACTTTTGTTCTGATGCCTTTTTATCAGAACCAGCATTGATTTTTTGAGCAGTTTGACTTACAGTAGCTCGTCTGTTGGATCGGACCACACAGGCCAGCCTTCGCTCCCAACGTGCACCATAGTCTTGGTCGCCCATGACCCTCTGGTTCGACGCTTTTCCTTTCTTTTGATAGGTGCTGACCGCTCTAGACCGGAAGCACCCCACAAGAGCTGCAGTTGTGGAGATGCTCTGACCCAGTCGTCTAGCCTTTACTTCAATTATGCTTTTCATTTGTAAGAGAAAGGTGGTGGTGTTATTTCTTCTTTGAAAAGGAACATAGTCTGACTTTAACTATCAATCAAATGTAGGTGCGCTTTCACAAAACAAACCTTGGTGTGTTTTCCTAGTTAGTGCAGTTTGTTGGGGCTGATGTGGAAGCTGAACCCCGGGGACTGCTTGAACAGGAGGGTCTGCTTCCAGGTTGACTCTGGTGTGGTTTCTTTTCTGGTGCGGAAGCAAACAGAACCACCGCAGTATTTTAAGTTGTGTTTTTTGGGTATTTTTTAAATTTTTTTTGCATGATTTCAAAAGCTAAACTACTATTAAATCTACATGCTGGTTGTGACGCAATCTTATAATTGATCTGTAGAAATAACGTAGTTAGATCAGAGTCAAAAGTAGTTAAAGATGTGGTGAGTAGTGCTTATATCTTAATCTGTTTACTTCGGCAGTTCATTACGTTAATTAAAAAGTGTGTGACATAGCAACCACAAAGTAGTATGCCCCTCTTGAACTACTTTATAGGACTAATGGGTATTTTAATTTTAACAGTGCAGCATTATTTTACAAGCTGATTATATGTTTTGTATTAAAATGGTAAAGTAAAAAGGTACTGTAGCTGTTACATGTTCCTCAGATGTGTTGAAGTATAAAGGATCTTAAGTACTCTTTACTAGTTTTCACAGCTGGGTATAAAACCAAAAGAAAGCCACCAAGCAAGAAAAACAAACTAGATTTTATATCTGTTTGCGATTGACATTATAAGAAGTCTTCATAAGGATGATTGTCTCTGAGGTTTCTGGAATTGTAATGAACGTTTTAGGTGTTTGAAGTGTATGCTGTTTCATGGTGATAATGTCAGTCAGCATTGGCGTGAAGTAGCGAAGGCAAGGCGTCAGGTTCAAGGATGAAGCTGTACAAACTGAGAGCTGCAGACACGCCAGCAGTCTGAGAAGCCAATTATTTCCAGTTTCAGAGGCTGTGAGAATGCTCCACTAATTATCGAAAACTGAGCTTGTTCAGTTGCTGAAAAGCTGCAGATACTCTAGAACAATTTGCTCCTATTGAGTACCTAGGCTAATTAACGTCAGCCTTACATTTGGAGAGAAAAAAAGCTTGTTTTTTAGTCATCCATTTACGTAAGCTACTTTGATGCACCACCTTAACTTCAAAAGTATTTGGAGCAGCTGCGACACGAGTTTACCGCCTCGGAAAGGAAACAAGTTTGAGGGACCTTGAGTGGTGCGCATCTTCCTGCGGGTAAGTATATTTAAAATGTCAACTTCAAAAGACTGGCTCTCTGAGACTTTATGGGAGCAAGATAACAGCTATATTTACTAAAGTGATTCATGCAAAATTACCACATTGCCAGTAAAACACAAATACTGATTTGCCTAAATACACAATACACACAGAAAGCGCACACACATGTATAAACACTTTAAAACATAAATGCACACACATCACATCACATCTGACACACAAATCTCTCACTAAATCTGGGAAGTCTAATCTTGCCAAATCATGCTGTTTTGTCTCTCCAGTTAAAAAAAAAAAAAAGTCCCGCAACATGTCCACTCTGTGAAAGGAGTACACAAAGCGCTCACACAAAATATTTAGCATTTACACAAACTAACAAATAAGGCACAGAATGCAAGTGTAGACATATATACTAGTGTTAGATTTTTTTGGATCAAACTCTGGCACTTACGAGGTGTTTTTTTGTGTGAGTCGCTCTGGGATATTTAACAGCCCAGTCTTCACTTTACTAGAGTGGACCTGGACACCCAAAGGATCGCCAGAGAGGTCATTAACAGCAGAGACCTGTGTTCGGCTTATTGTTGCAGGATAATGGCTTGGGCAAAATGGAACAAAGTCAGACACGTGAAGTGGAGTCAGAAAGGGGAGAGGAAAAAAAAAGGATTGCAGACGTCGGAGGGGGAAAAAGCTTCTAGTTTTGAGAGGTTCGCAGGGTCACCATTTGTAAATTCCTCTTGTTTTTTAAAAAGATGAGGTCACGGTCGTGGCTGTTTAACCCATCTGAGAGGGATTCAAAATGGCTGCTGGCTCCAGAGACTGGAGCTGTGGTTTTTGTTGAGGGTTTATCCAGTTTCCTTCGTGCAGGAGCTGAGAGCAGGTTCTAGAGAGAGTAGATCTCGGCCAGAGATCTGTCGCTGTGAATCATCAAGGTTAAAGGGAAGATTGGGAATGATTTGGCATTGGTGTAGTTGGCAGCAACGAGGGGGGAAGGCTAAAAAAAATGACCAAAGGTTGAACATTAGACTCTATCTCAGTGGGCGATGAATCTATTACCCTTAAAACTTCAATGGGTTCATATTTTATATATTACTGTTTGCTGAAATATACATGGTCATACATTTAGGTCTGAATCTTCCTGTTTTGTTGAAGATTTTGGAACAGGCAGTGTAGTGAATTCACAATGAGTGTGTAAAAAAATAAAATAAAAAATCACAGCAATCCACTGTTCAGAGAGACCTCATGTTGAGTTCTTTGGCTTCTGTTCCACACGTGGACGGTTTCGACTATTCACAATTTTCTGAAATGCAAATACAAGGTCGGCCTCCTCATTACACAAATGGAATATCAAGCAACTCAGAAACAAAGCGGAGATGGAGATTTAAAATACAGAGGAGTGACTCTCATATAAGACAGGTGCAAAAAGCATTCTCCATGAAACAAAGCTCTTCAAAAGAGCAGGGCATGTGTAATTACAGGAGTGGGCAGCACATTGCGAATGTAGGCGCACCTTGGCACCGTCGTTGAACAAGAAAAGAGCTGAATAATGGCGTGAAGATTATGAAGATGGAGAGGGAGCGAGAGCAAGGCCAGAGGAGGGACAGTCAATTGGAGGTTGAAGAAAAAGGAAACAAACAAAGAGAAAAGAGAGACGGAGGCAGAGCCACGAGGTGACTCAGAAAGACTTTGAAAAGATAAGGATGAGGCAAAGATGAGGGACTGCTTGGCAGAGGCTCCAGTCAAACCAGCTGTTCCCCCTAACACCGATGCTCAGCAGTAGACTAATAGGCAGAGTGAGTCAGTGGCCCTGTCTCCTGTCTCCCAGGCTGCCTGGAGGGGCCGTATTGATAATATCCCAGCCTGCAAGGCTCAATCCATCCCCTGGGGCGCTCAGCGGCAAGTGGATGAAGAGTCCCCGGACGGTCTTTTGGCTCTACAGCTAGACACTGCAGCAGAGGAAGAGATCTGAACACGATAGAAGGCAGGTTCGTGCGCACACACACACACACACACACACACAAACAGGCACACTGCCCGAACGCCTTCCCTACACCTCATTTATTCTCATTTTGAGTCTCCCCTCTCTCACTCTCTGCAGAGTGAGGGACAGAGAGCAGTGATCACAGAGGAGGCGAGGAGGGAAGAGAGGCGAGAGAATGACAGCCGACGCCGAGGATCGTCCGTCTCTCTTCTCTCCCATCAGAAGTGCTAATCCAGCCAGTGGAGGTGCAGACCACCGCTCACACCTGCCTGCTCCTCTCCATCTTGTTAGGGGCCAGATGGGAGGGAAAGTGACTTCCTGCTGTACTTCCACCACAGGGCTCATTCCCTCACATTAATACCTTTGCTGCTCGGCTCCATTTGTTACACACACTCAAGACACACACTCAGGGGGAGCCCGGGGCTGTGAATGATGGCCATATGCAGAACAGTGCTCATCTATAACCCCCTGTGGCTGGAACAAAGTACAGTAGACTCCTTGAGTGTTGATACCAAGGTTAACATTTGGAAGTGGTGCAGTGCAGTCTGATTCAGCAGCTCTGTGCAGAAGTACGCCTGGCCGGGGCCAACGGGTCCATAAAGGTTAGTGAAGTGGGTTTATAGGCAGAAGGTCACTGGTTTAAATTTCTGCGAGAGTGTATGTGTGTGTGTAAATAAATAAAAACCTGGCAGGGAAGGTGAACGAGTGACTCGCTGCCCACTGGTGACCGCTCCGCAGCCAACAGCAGCCAGCGGTCACTGCGCAGCTCCCTGGTGTGAAAGTGTGTTAATGTGTGAGTGTGAAACAAAGCAGAGCTGGAAAAGCGTGCATGCTCAGCACAACCCCTCCCCTGATAAATAGAGGTAAGAAATAAAAAACATGATAGCTGATGGGTGGATCAAAGAAGAAAACATTGGAGGACTCGCACTCAAACACACCAAACCCCAACACCAGCTCACCATTAAAATTCAAACGGGCAAACCAAGGGTTTGGAGAGTGATACACAATGATTGGTGTGTGTGTGTTTTGAAAGAAAAAAGGGAAGATTATTCTTTTTCATTAAACAGGATCCAACATTTCCTAATTAGTTCGTTGATTAATGTCACCTTTTGTGGCTGTTGAAGAAAGACAAAAACAAGCTGACCTCTGCGTGAATAAACACACATCACCTTGAATTAGCTCCATGTCCAGCAGTTTTTTGTGTGTGTGTGCATGTGCGTAAAGCCAATGAGAGAATGCTGTCACCATGACTGCAATGCAGGTGTGGATCACAACTAACATGTTTCACCAGGAAAATATGCACTTTTTTCAGCTGTGCCTTGTATGTTTGACTCATACTTTTAATTTCATACCACAAATATAAGAAATATTGCAGAGACGACCTCAAATGGTCTTCAGACAAAGAAAGTATTTCAGAAACCTATTCTCCAACAACCTAATCTTTTCATTATTGGTCAATCTGCCAATTATTTTCTTAATTAAGCTTGTTTGTCTATAAAATATCATATACTGTTGAAAAATGCACATTATAATTTTCCAGAGCCGTTTGGTATGAAAAACAGTCCAAAAGCCAAAGATATTCAGCCTACTCTCAAATATGACAAAATGAATATTTTCCATATTTGAATGTAATAAAAAAAAAAAAAGACTAAAATGCTCAATTGATTATCGAAATAGTTGTAGATTCTCCCCAAAGCCTACAATGACACCTTTTTAAATTGCTTCTTTTGTCTACCTACAATGGTTCCTAAACATTTTTAAACCATGGCACCCCTTCATAGTGTATAAGTAAATAAAAAATGCTCTTGATTAATTTATTGATGATCTACTAATGAATTCATCATTACGGCACAAGTCTAAATTCAGGCCTGCATGAACGGTAAGAAAACTACATTTGAATACAGCTTTATCCCCTGATTATTCTTAGTCTTACTAGTAGAATTAAAATCAAATACATGGTCACCATGTGAATTAACAACCAGAAATGACACTAATCATTTGACACCCTGCCTGAAATGTTCACTCATTAGGGAAAATATCTTTTAGTCCAAGAATTTGCTCAGTAAATGCAAGTGTGTTGCGGGAAAAACAGAAATGTGTGTACAGTAAATAAGCCGAGCCACTGGGACACGCTGAGTGAAGACCATCCAGGCTCCTCCGTGTGCATGTGTTTATCTGTTGGTTTATGTGTCAGTTACAGGCAGGACCCCTGCTGAGAGCAAAGATGTTGTAAACGAGGCACCACAGATAATGTATTGCAGCGGGTGTCATTGAACGTGTCCCTTTTGAGAATAGGCATAAAACACACAAACACAAATGTCAGGACACAGTGGCATGTATGAGGCCTGAAAAACTAATAAAACACAGCAGTGAACATGCTACATACACTACAGTGTACATCCTGCCATTATACACACACAGTTGGGTAGGATACATAATCCACACACACACTTTTCCATACACAGGCAGAATTTGTCTGATAAGAAAGGTCACTTGTCATTTTAAAAGCTCACAAACCATTTCAAGCTCCACTTTTAAAGCTTCACTGGAAAGGAAAAGGAGGGCAGCCGTGCCTCTGGACACCTCACTCAGGCAGTCGTAATTACAGAACAAATCACACTGCTCTTTTCCCTCCCTGTTATTTGAAAATAGTGGATTAAGAGCAGCACACAAAAAAAAGCAGATTTTTGAAGCTCGGCCATCTGTGTTTGTCCAGGAGCTTGTGTATGTGTGTGTGCATCTGCTTCCTTATCTCATCTGAACCATCCACCCCTCACACAGCTCCCAGTCGCTTTTTTAGTCTCCAAGCCGGAGAGGTCGGCTCAGAGCCCTGAAATTGGGTCATGTGGGTGTTTGGTTTAAAAAAGAAAGCTGGACACTGGCTGCAAAGCTGCCTGGACCAGGCACAGGTAGGGGAGTAAGGGATAGAGCAATTGGAGGGATGGGGCCGAGGAGAGTGATGAGTGGAAAGGTCAGGACAGTACAGCGCAGTCCCGTTGCTGGGGGGGGGAGATATTTTTGGACAGCACGCCGGGGTCGCAGCGCCAGACTGTCAGCCTCTGCTCGGCCGCGGCCAGAGAGCCTCAAGGTCACGCCCTGCACCTCTTCTGCTGACAGAAAGAGCGAGAGAGAGAGGAAGGAGGAGGGGGGGGGGGGAGGTCAGAAGAACCTGGACGCCATGCTGCTGTTGCAGGTCTAAATAAAACTCACTTCGCTCTTCTTGAGCATAGGCGTGTGCACACACACATCCGTGCAGGGCCAGCTTTCAGGTCAAGAAAGAACAAGCAAGGGCTGCTGGGTATACACTCATTTCTGAGGCGAGTGACAGTTCAGGAGTGTCACCTGCCCACAGGGGCATCTGGTGTGAAATGTGATATCGCTCGGAGGCTGACCCACATAGCCCGAAAGCTACTCACGTAATGGATATCATGTGGACAGGAAGATTTAAAAACCCATTTAGAGTTCCACACAACTTCAATTCAATGTTTAGAATTAGTTCCGCTTGATTCTGTCCATTTATTTGTTTCACACCTCATACTTCCATTGATACTATCTCAGGTAATTAATTGTTTAAAAAGTATGAAAATATTGAAGTTGCCCCATCAAGGAGCTACTTGCTGAATTGTAATGTAACTATCTGCATTTTGAAGTCAAGAAATGAGGTTCCCAATCTCTAGACGGGTACTGGGCCTCAGAACTTTGCTAATCAAAAAAGCTGTATAATAATTCTATAATTTTAGACTATTATACACTGAACAAAATTATAAACGCAACACTTTTTTCAACACTGTTTTTGCCCCCATTCATCATGAACTGAACTCAAAGATCTAAGACTTTTCTGTGTACACAAGGCCTATTTCTCTCAAATATTGTTCACAAATCTGTCAATCTGTGTTAGTGAGCACTTCTTTGCGGAGATGATCCATCCACCTCACAGGTGTGGTATCAAGATGCTGATCAGACAGCATGGCTATTGAACAGGTGTGCCTTAGGCTGGCCACAATAAAAGGCCAATCGTGCGGGTGTGGTTACACATGGTCTGCGGTTGTGAGGCCGGTTTGATGTACTGCCAAATTCTCTGAAACTCCTTTGGAGATGGCTTATGGTAGAGAAATGAACATTCAAATTCATGGGCAACAGCTCTGGTGGACATTCCTGCAGTCAGCATGCCAGTTGCACGCTCCCTTAAAACTTGCGACATATGTGGCATTGTGCTGTGTGATGGAACTGAACTGCAACTGAGCTTTTCGAGTGGCCTTTTATTGTGGCCAGCCTAAGGCACACCTGTGCAATACCCATGCTGTCTGATCAGCATCTTAATATGCCACAACTGTGCGGTGGATGGATTATGTCGGCAAAGGAGAAGTGCTCACTAACACAGATTTTAACAGATTTGGGAACAATATTTTAGAGAAATAGGCCTTTTGTGTACATAGAGAAAGTCTTAGACCTTTAGTTCAGCTCATGATGAATGGGGGCAGAATTGTGAGTGTTTAGAATTTTGTTCAGTGTAGATTGTAGTAATCACGTTGAACGTGGCTCAGTCTGTGCTACATCATTATCTGTTACACACAATACATTGATTCTTGACACAGCCTTTGTTGCATGTCATACCCCTCTCTCTGTGTATCCTGTCTCTCTACACTATCAGCTGCCCATTATAGAGAATGTCTGTACTTTATTTAGTATGTAACCACAACAATAAAATACAGACCAAATAAAGTTTTATTTTTCTCTGCCTTCTCTCTCATACGTTCTCTTTTCTGTAACTCTCTTTCTGTAATTTTCTTAGTCTTAGTGAAGTCTTATCCGTGTGTCTGCCACAAAATGATCTATTATTCATTTAAATATGAGTTTGTGGACCACTGCTTTCTATGTTAAGAAAACAAATGACAAAAAGAGCAACTGTGTTTGTTTAAACATTTTATTGCTATGTAAAATTAAAAATCTCATACCTCCAATGAAAAAGTCCTACTCTTAAATAAATAAAATCAGGCAAAATAAAAATATTTGGCATTGTGAATTGAGTGTATGGGGAGAATTCAGTTTGAGCAGATTTAGCACAGTCAGACTTAATGTTATAAAATGCACTACTGGTACAGTCTGCTGACAGACTACCATCTTATAAACGTCAATGTATCATCTCATCGGGTAATACACAGAGCCAAGTAAACTACTAAACATATAACACTGCCTTTCTCCCTATCAACATTTAATACTGTAACTAACAGTAGTTTTATGACATATTAACCTTAAATAAAACCCAACACATGAAGTAGATGCGCTTATTATTGGCACATCCGTGATATCCCTGGCACTGGTACCTTCAGTGCGGAGGGCAAGGGAAAAAAGGCTGCAGCTGCTTGTCCTCGGCAAGCCACCACCGTTGCAGTACATTTAAGCTGATGAGTCGAGTCATTCAACATGTTGCACAATCTCTAAGCGATTCAACACATCCTCATTATCCTGAACACACCCGTAATCGAGGTGACAAATCTACGAACGAAGTGTCGTCTTCTCAGTGCAGCCGATACAAAGACACAATGATTAATGACAACACAAAACTTCAAGTATATTCCAAACGCAGCTCCTCAGTCTAACCACTAAAATCTGGGTGGGGGACTAAAGTCTAAGCATGCAAACACTACTGTAATGTGCACCCATTTTCTCTTTCTGTGACAAAGTGCATATTAGGAACTGGGTGCTCTCTGAGACTTAAGTTTGGCTCTTTACGCTGTGGTGTCAAAGTCGGCTCGTTCTCTAAGAGGCAAAGAAGCTTGG